AGGAGTAGTGGTTAATCATACACTGCTGCTACCGTCATGATCACCACCATCATCGTCATCCCACCATCTTATAAAATGTGGCCCACTCAAACATTAGTTTAGGACCTAACAGAGGTAAAACAACTAGCTGAATCTCTCAGTGAGATGCTGTCCAAGGTTAGCCATGATTTGACTCTTGGATTTCTGAGTGAAGGAACCTACTATGGTCTGAATGTTTGTGTCCCCGACAAAAAAATTCATATTTAGAACTCATAACTCCCAAGGTTACAGAATTAGGAGATGGGGCTTTGGGGAGGTGACTAGGTCACCAGGACAGCACCCTTGTGCATGAAGTTAGTACCCTTATAAAAGAGGCACCAGAGAGACCCTGGCTCCTTCCACTACACACAGATGCAGTGAGACCTTATCATCTATGAACCAGAAAGTGGTTTCCTCACCAGACACAGAATCTTGTTGGTGCCTTGATCTTAGTCTTCTCAGACTCTAGAACTATAGAAATAAATTTCTGTTGTATAGACCACCCAGTCTGTGGTGTATTGTTATAGTAGCCCAAATATACCAAGAACATGTGGATTTGTGGCTGCCATTTGGCTAAATTATTCTAGGGCCAAATGAACGGAATGTTTGTGTCTTTCCAAAATTCAAATTCTGAAATCCTAATCCCCAGTGTGATGGTACTAGGAGATGGGACCCTTGGAAGGTAATTAGTTCATGAGGGGGAATCCTCATGAAAGAGGTTAGTGCCCTTATTAAAAGGGACCTCAGAGAAGACTCTCCCTCTTTCTAGCATGTGAGGATACAACCAGAGGGTGAACTTGGTGCACCAGGAAGTGGGCCTTCTCCAGACAGGAGTCTTGGAGACCCTTGATCTTAGACTTCCTAGCTTCCAGAACTGTGAAAAATAAATATTCGTTGTTTAAGCCACCCAGTTTACGGTAGTCTGTTATAGTAACCCCACTGATTAAGACACGGAGAAGGAGAGCAATTCCATATTTTTGTTCCATCCTCCTCTACTCAAATGATTTGTAAGTCTCTTCAGTCCGATGACATAAAAATTTTTTCGATAGTTGTACCATTTGGTCACAATGGTTGAAGAATGATATGTAGTATTCGATTCTTAAAAAGAACTGAAAAAAAAAATCTAGTGAAAAATATAAACTAGAAGTGGACCCAAATAAGCTTTCTTTTAAACTATAAGATCAGAATAAAACATAAAAACACTCTCTAAATGGAATTGACAGAAAATGAATATTTCTGTGTCGCAAGATTCTGAATCAGAGATTTGACTCAGGAAAGGATTTTGGCATCCAGGATCCTGGGGTCACCTTTGTCCCTCAGGATATTGGCTGGAATGGGGCCATGCATTTGTGCCGACTCACAACATCTGTGTGTGGGGGGAGTTCGCATGTGCAGGTTTGCCACATGTTGTGTAGTTTTTAATAGGTGGCTCCACTCAAGCATCATCTGGTGTGTTCTGTGCCCTGGCCAGGCAGCCCTGAGAGTTTCAGATGGTCTCCGAGGGTTTTTATAAGGTTTGCCGTCTGTTGAAGCCCAAGAGTTTCTAGCTGATTAAAAATAAATTCTAAAGCCAGTGTCCACAATTGTTTATTTTACAAATGAGGTAACCATGGAAAATGCAGTAAACAGAACAAAAATAGTCCTTGCTGCATTGTGAACCTGTGACTCTGGGCACGCCTGGGGGTTTTCCTTGCCTTTCAACCTTTCACCTTCTCGTCTGTAAACAGGACCTCGTGCAGGTGATCCCAGACTGATTTATGTCTGTCTTTTTTTTTTAATTAAAATTTTAATGACCAGCACTATCAAAAGTCATTTCTGATGTGTATCTTAACTTCACCTGGTTTCCTGCTCCTCTCGACCCTTTTTCTGCAAAAACAGAAGTTGTCTCGTGGCCTCTTGCCTAAGGATTACCCTCGCCAGTAAAAAACTGTCAGCTTCCCTGTACCCTTCCTCATGCGCTGTGCTCAGGGGGTTCAGAATTTCATTGTCTTCTGCAGATCAGAAGGAGACACACTTGAAGGCAGCAAGCTTGGCAGGGACCTTTGGGCATTCTCAAATTACAATCATCACAGAAGCTGCCTCTGATGCTGATCACTTGCTGAAGGACTGATTAGCTCAGATCCTCTGGATAAAGAACGGACAACTGGTTTCTAATAATCATGTTAATATCACAGAAATCCACAAATCTGTTTGCTTCCCATATCCAAAGAGCTGGTGTTTAAAAAACTTGACAATGATTACAAGTGAATGGCTGCACAGCTGATCTGGGTTCTTCGTTCCAGTCACATTTAATAAAGGAAATACATGCTAATATTAGGGGGCTGACAGTGTGCCAGTCACTGACTGAAGCCCTTTGCCACAACTCTATGCCATAACTCTGTGAGGCAGGCACTAACAACAGATCCCTTGCATGGATGAGAAAGTTGGGCCCACAGATTTTTTTAAGTAGTTGACTAAAGTTAACACATTTAAGCAATGACAGAGCCTGCAGCCGAACAGCCTCCACAGAGTCCAAAGCCTAGGAGCAACATTTCGTCTTGGCATTACATGAAAAGCCATAAATTTAGACATTTGACATTGTCTCCACATGAGGTCATGCAAACAATCACAGAAATACACCAGAAAACTGAAAGAAGATTGTCATGGAACTTGGACCCCCTAGTAAGCTATGGTGAGATACATGTATGCATATGTATATATAGCAAAAGACACACACACACCATAATCTCCTTCAATTGTCTTGTGAAGAATACAGTTATGTTAAAATTCATTTTTGTATACATTATAGTCTTTAGTTGGGTACACATAAATATTTAAAACTTATCATAGATTCCATAACCTTGTTTTGATACGTCTTCAGTAATATGCAGATTCTCAACAATGAAATTGTCCTGGGCAGTTTAGACTTTGAAGAGGTTTCCGTGCATAGAACTATATATTTAGAAGGGACTATAGAGACTACCTTGTCCAACTTCTTCATTTCATATGTGAGGAAATGAGGGTCAGAGATGCTGAGTCACCTCCCCAAGGTCACACAGCTAGATGCCCTTCCTTTGACCAACAGACCCATGTGTTCTGTCTGCACCTATAGTTGCTAAAACCTGGCTGTATACGAGGACACATGTAATGGGAACATCTGGAGGATATGAAGTATTTTTTTGTAAGACCAATGACTCCTCCCAATAGAATCTTTTTTTGAGTATATGGGAAAATGCATTTTTATAGAAGTTTTCATGTTTCAAAACTTTGTTGGAACTGAGAATCAATATCAAGCCTTATGGCCACCCTGGGAGAGAAGGTGTACAGGCTTTGCTATTTCTATTTTTCAGAGCAGGAAACAAAAAGTGGAGAACTGTCTCACACCTTTCCCGAGGTAGCCCAGCTAGGTAGCCCAGCTAGGTAGCCGCAGAGTGGGTCCTATAATTTAGGACTCCTGGTTTGGCACATCGGGTCAAACCACACTGCTCTCCTCTACTCCATGTGTCTTACAGGAACTACAGCTGAGAACAGCATAAGCCTTTTTGTTCTCCCGATACTATTTACAAACCATTCTCAAACCTGCTGTAATTTCTTTGAAAGAGCCTATTCTTCATGTGACCTGTAACTTGATGGAAAAGATAATTAGATCTTCTAAATGCCACTCATAAACACTATTTCAGGACAGATATTAAGCATTTCCAATGTTTCTAAGTTATTTCCTTTTTGGGGGTGAGATGTAAGATACATTTAAATAAGTCTGGTAAAGTAGTGTACTGCAATAAAAATGCAGTCCTACAAAAGCCCTTTTACAAAACAACAACGACAACAACAACAACAAAAAAACCCAACAACAACAACAACAAAACCGGTCTTTTAATTCAATAAATAAATGATGGGCACTTCCAGTTTTTCTACAAGGGCAGCTACCACTTGCAGCTAACACACACACACACACACACACACACAGAAAATACACAAACAAACAGCCTTTGATCCTGTCTTGCTGCAGGGCGTTTCATCTTCCAAGAGACCAAAGGAAAAACAACCTCAGAACTTTACCACCAAAACTTCCAAATTTATTGCAACACAACGTAATGGCAAAATACCATTTTCTGAGCACACAGAGTTTTGAACAACCACCACAGCCAAGAATGCCTGGTTTAATGTTTACAATAAACCCCAAGAAAATCTTGAATTCCACTCTGGGTTTGGGGATGGCAAAGATGCTGTGGGTTGTCTGGAGCAAAGGATCATGTCCAATATTCAGTCTTATCCTCTCTGTTTAACCTGGGCTTGAGGCGTTTATTTCATGTTTATACTGGTTTGACACAAATCATGCTTAAAAGAGATTTTTGTATCCTGTCTTCCTGTGCAAAGTTGAGCTACAATGGTCGACTGAACAATGCCAGTCCCTTCTTGGGCTTATCAGTAGCAGAAGCCCTCAGCCTAGGAAAACACTTCTAGTGTAAACAAGACACAGAAAAGCACATCTAAGCCACATTCTACTGAGATCTGCCTGAAGAGAGAGGTCCAGAGTCACATTAAGTAATTTCTCTTTTAATTTAGCATCTGTGTGCCCATTTCTCACGCTGTTTTTCATACACTGTCATACGTGAATTGTTCAATTGTTATCACAGGAAGCAAAGTTGCAAAAAGCAAGAAAAATGTAATTACTTTAAAAATTCTACACAAATGTCATGCTTTTCAACTTATTTTAACCTTCATTAAGTTGGCTTAAAAAAAAACAGTGAAAACTTTGTCCTAATATTGACAATGTTTATAACTGATAAACATATATACATATATAAATATAAATATGACTAGTTTTTAGGAGGATGCTTCCACCCTCTTCCATCCCAACTCTCTTGAAACTAAAATTTACACAGACTGCTCACTTAGTAAGGTATGTAATCTAGTTTCTCAGTGACAAATACATTTTACCATTTTTATAATAATGAATGGAAAGCAACTATATGCATAATTTAGCAATTCATCAGACGTACCTTGTTTGAAGAAAGGAATTAGTTTTTGCAAAAATTTTCCACCACACAGAATGACTATCCCTTTTTCTTTAAGCTTTTCTGCATCACAAATTCCATCCAAATTATTCTAAAGAAGAAACAAGCAGAGGTCCAAGCACCTTTTCTCTTCTCAGAGGAGCTAAGCAAACATTCCCATCCACCTCTCAGCCCTTTGAAAAGCGCATTTTGTAACACACACACACACACACACACACACACACTGCTCCTCACACTGGTTTTAGTGCTGAATTAGGCGGTCCTCTTTCAAATTTCCACTCCCACTTGCTTTTTTGGCTAAAGGATTTCTAAATATTCTTTTCTAACCCAAAGCACACATTTTCAGTAAGCAAATTCTACAATTAGATATTCTGGAAGAGGAGCAGTTGGATAGAAAAAGCTTTTTTTTTTTTTTTTTTAATTATGCTTTAAAAACTACTCAAGCAGGGGCAATTAATTTTTCTTTTTCAAATGCTAGTAAACGGCTGGATGAAGGTGTTTATTCTACTGGATTCTCAGTTTTGCACTGAAAACACTTTTCCTACATATGAGTGCTTTTCCTTTGTTTTGCTTTGCGTGAGTTGTTTCTGCATTTTGGCAGCTTCCTGAAGTGATTGAGGTCTATGCTGCTAGTAGCAGGATCCATGATAACAGTAGTGGGAAGCAAAACCTGACTCAGTTTCAGTAAAACTGCTGATGGGTGTGTCTCTCACATCATCACTGAAATCTGCCAGCATGAGTTATTTATATATCAGTGCCATCAGTCAAATCAACGAGATTAAGACCCAAAATGTGTGTTAACACATCTCAGCATTTCAAAAAATCAGAACTCCCATCCCCCCAAAAGTGCATCTGGCCGTCCTTGAGATTCCAGGGTCTGTGGGTATGGCAGAACCAGCAGGGCAGAGGCAGCACAGAGCCATTCCTCCTCCTGCTGGGGAGTGTGCACGCACGCAGCCTGGGAACAGAACTTCCATTTGAGTACCCCATCCTCACCTATTGGCCTTGTCCCTTACTTAAGAATATTGTTTCAGTGCTGTTTAACCTATTTCTTTCCCCTTCTGGCTCTGGATTTAAATTATTATTTTTCAATCCTGTTTTTTCCTCCTCCAAATCCTGACACTGACTCCTTTGGTAGGAAGGACAGTGTTGCCACACGGAAGGTCAGCTGTCCCACTCTTTGCACTAGCATAGGTTCAGATGAAATAGCATCTAACTAATAATAATGTCAATTAATAATAGTATTCAATATTAACTCACATTTAATAAACATTAAATAATTCATATTAGTTAATATTATTATTTATTACATTTATCATCTAATTTAATATTTGGAAGACTCTAGAACAATCAGTACTATTATTTCCATTCTATAAACAAGGGAACTGAGACTCAGAGTATGTAACTTTCCCAACATCACTCAGCCAGTAAAGCAAGACCTAGGATTCAAATCCAAGGCTGTCTGACTCCTAAGCAATGGTGCTATGTTAGAACTTAGAGCTTTTTTTTTTTTTCTTTTACCAGTTGAATTTCCTTTCTTATGGTGAATAGGAAAAAAATCAAATGTAAAGGCATGGAAAAGCATATGAAGCTAATGCAAATTAAAAAGCAATGGTATTTGGTGTGATGAAATACACAAAGTTATGACTGTAATTAATGAGACTGAGTAGTACACTTAAAATGGCAAAATTTCTTATATGTTTAACTATAATAAAAATTATTTTTTAAAAAGTGAGTCCCTTAAAAATGAAATATTATTTTATTTTCATCATACTGGCAAAAATTAGAAATTTGGACAAAGCCCAGGGCAACCATATAGTGGCCCCAGTGGGCTGCTAGCGGTGTAGGCAAATGTGGCTATTCTCAAGAAAAATTCAGAAGTACTTGGTTGAATTATGTTAACACCCATAAAAAAATCTTTCTGGAGTGTATTCATCAGTGAGCTGCTCGAATGGGGCCTTCTCCAGAGAACTCACGTGTCAAGTTTGGGAGAAGCACAGAATGAAACCACACCACAGTTAGAAACCAAGGCTTAGAGTTGTGGCAGTGGCCGTGCTGAGGTCTTTGGGACATCTGCATGGATCTCGCACTTGACTTCTTCCAGTCTTTGCCCAAATATCACCTCTTGAGTGAGACCTTTCCCGACCTTCCTGTTTAAAGTGGCACTGCAATCCCAAGAATATTCTCTTCTCTCTTAATTTTTCTTCATGGTACCCATTACCCTCTAATGATATTTCCTACTGCTTTTTTTAAATTAGGCATCACTAGAATAAATACAGGCTCAGGAAGGCAGGGGTTTTTATCTGTTTTATTCACAGATGCATCTTTGTTCTTGGAACCACACATAACAGGCATATATTCACTAAACACACACGATTGGAAGTACATTAGAATGGTTGTCTACAAGAAACGGGAGAGGGAGTGGAGACATGGGATCAGTAGAATTGAAAACATTCAAACCAAAGTCCTGGAGTCTCAGTGTGAAGCAGAGACGATGGTGTCAGGAATGGAGTGAGCCCTCCACACCTGGACATCTGGCAGCAGCAACAACACCCATGACAAAATCAACCATGCTGCTGGCTTCTTCTAACTTTTTAGAGTAAAACAAGATCGAAACTTCCTGGTGAGTGGCCTTGAGCTTGCTACTTGGCCTAAACTGAAGTAGATTACCTCTAGTTGAGAATAAATATTGTGATTGTGATATTCTCTTTTTCCTGTTATTGCTACGTGAGTTTGTTTTGCTTATAAATCATCCAGAGTTTCTTGGAAGCATTCTTTATTTCCCAAATAACTGTGTGTCACTTCATAAACTTATTGTCCTAGTCTTATATTGTATCTGGTACAAAAATTCAAATCTTTTAGAACATTCGGTATTAAAAAGTTTTTATTATTGTCATAAACATTGAACCTGATGGTTCTTTCAAATACTGTCTCATTTTTTTTTTTTTTTGCCATTTCAGAGACAGAATGTGGGGAAATCAATGCATTCCTTCTATCACAAATCCATCCTTTTATGTGACTTTTAAAAATGCAGGCTGGCAATTTAAGAGTCTAAGTAATGAGGCAGGCTTTTCAGACAATCCTGATACTTTTATTGTGTGCAGGTATAAAACACAAGAATTACACCTTCATAACACGAGTTCACTGAAATGTCTCAGGCTATATTGTTTGATGCTACATCAATTTTTCATAGAACTATGATTTGCCTTCAAGAGTTTTGAGACTCTTTCCCTCTGTGCTTTGATAAGTAGCTTCCTGCAAATGCTCAGATTTTTTTTTTCCAGTTTCCTGGACACTGCTGAACATGGCTGGTAAGTACAAATTTTGTGTGGTGTCAATGTGAGTGGAAAATCCACCAGTCTAATTAGACTTTGTTAAATTTACATCACTATTATCTATCAGAAGCAAAGAGGTTATTACAAGAAAAACATAGCTTTCCAAAAATTAAAGGAGCTAAATGGGGACCATGGACAACTTATAAATAGGTGGAGGATAGGTGTCCAAAAAAAGCTCTCAAAACTACAAGGAAGATGTTGTTAAGAATACATCAGAGGCACCAGGCGCAGTGGTGCATGCCTGTAATCCCAGTGACTGAGGAGGCTCAGGCAAGAGGATGGCAAGTTTAGGGCCAGCCTCAGCCATTTAGTGAGACCCTGTCTCAGAATGAAAAATAAAAAGGGCTGGGGATGAACCTCAGTGATAAAGCATCCTGGGTTCAATCTCTAGCATGCAAAAAAAAAAAGAGGTACAATTTTGATTAAATAATAAATAGTAGCCACTCATTTTAGGAGCTAAAGGTAAACTCAGCAGAGGAAAGGAGATGGTGGATTTCTTCCTTATGTTATTTTTTAAAAGTTGAAAAGATTACTACTCCCAAATGCTTCCTTGCAACAAATGAGCCGGAACCACTGTATCAAGTATTGTACAGCACCCACAACATTTTAGGCCAATCTGACAAAAAATAAATGCAGATAAGTCACTGTGATTTAAATAGCATAAAAGGGATTAAGACCTAAAGGAGGATATGGAGAACTGGAGGCCATCCTGCAGATTGTAGCATTCCCAAGAGCTGCTGAGCTGGCAGGGTACACAAAATACAAAAGCACCTTGTACAAAACCAGGGTTCAAAATGGTAGGCAGGAGATTATAGGCCTTATATCTCCCTATTATGCCAAGTAAGCACATGGAGACTAAAATAAAAGATTGGTTCACAGAACACTGATCAGCTGGGCTCTGCTGATCTAAGCTGGGCTGGGCTGGGAAGCTCTGCTTCTTGCTGCGGGCCTGCAGGTTGGCAGGGAAATCTCTCTCTTCGACAAGGGTTTATTCTGGTGTTGGTGCTACTGGGACAGCAACTTTATAAGAGAAGTGCTGGTGGCAAAGGCAAAGCAGCAAGAGGACAATGGAAAACACGTGGGGATGCTCAGAACTGGCACACTGTCATTTCTGGCCAAAGGAAATTCCATGACTAAGTCCAAAGTCAAGGAGCAAGAATCTAGACTGCTCAGGAAGAGGCTATGGCAAGAGTGCAGATGAGAAGGGAATGAAACCGAGACCAGTAGTAATCCAGTCTAACACACAGGGCCTTAACAGTCAGCCTTTCCTTTGTCCTTATGTTTATTGTGAATCTTGAAGTAACATTCAACTGAATTTTTAAAAAAAATTCTAATTCATGAATCTCTCCATTTTATTGTTTAATTTATTTATATTTATTAGGATTATGGACATTGCTGGTTTTTTTTTTAAGTTCATTACTTGTTTTTATTTACAATCTGCAGGATGGCCTCCAGTTCTCCTTTGTTTATTTATTTTTCTATCTTCTGGTAGAATAACCACCTTTACTATGTTCCCTCCTCCCTCTCTGTTATTTTCAGAATTTACATATTATGCTTCTGAACTTTTAGTGTTGTCCTTTCGTGGGCAGCAATAAAAATTTTAAGTTATTTTTTACTTGTACGCTCCTTTTAACCTGATGAGACTCCTAGGCCTCTTTAACTCTGACCTCATGTCCCATAGTTTTTGTTAATAATTTTAATATTACCCTTTTGCAATACAAACTAAAGTGTTATAATTCTTTTTCAAAAAGATTCTTAGACTTAATATTCGAGCATATTTTATCAGGTCCAGGTTTGTCATTGTGTCCTTTTTTCCTGTACCTTCTTTCTGAATTTAGATTTCTTCTTGTTGATAAAAAAACATTCAAAAAAAAATA